TAAAAAAGAAAGTATTTTAAGTTCACAAACTAAGAAGAAGAAAGAGAACTCACCATGTTCATGGTGCACCCCATGAATAGTAAGAACTTGATCAAAGAAAGGAGGACATACTAAGAATGTACCATCGATGAAGATAAGCTTCGATTCGAACAGCATAACCAATTGTTGTTCACTAGCAAATATAAATTCTCTCTTGCCACGTATTTGTGTATTTTTAAAAAGAAATTGTTTGCCATCGAGAATTTGCGTGTAAATTGTAGGAATGTCGAAGTCGATGGAAGTAGGAAGAGTTGGTATTGTTTTTCGACGAAGACGAGAGAGAGATGAATCTAAAAATAAAGATGAAACTAAAGGGAATAAATTTTTCTGAAAGTCGATACTTACGAGCGTCTTTAGCATCAGGTGCAAGAGCCAAACTAGTTTGGCTGAGTTTTGCAGCTGCGAGCTCTTGTTCGTAGATACGAGCAATTGGTGTTGTCTCATGGATTACTCGTTCTTTGACATTTTTCTTGAATTCGAGAAGTTCAATTCGATCAGGAGAAGGTAGATGGCCATCATGAGTGCCCGAGTGAGTTTTATAGTTGTCATTTGCATCAGTGTGAACAAAAGCTGAACAGTAACGGTCTTCACATCGCCAATATTTGGCTTTGCCACGATCTTTATTCAATGTGTAGGCATATCCGTTATAGAGAAGTAGTCGTTTGCCTTTTGTTGTTATTCTAAATTCCAGAGTAACCGTATCAGTTGCCATAAAAAGATGACGTTGATGAAAAAATTTTGAATATTGTTATGCTCTCAATTGACTGGTATATATATATATATATCGCGTATGAAAAGAAATTTATTCGATTATCAATTTAATTAGCTTTAGGAAAAAACAGTTTCATTGATTGATCTTTTTTTTGTTCTGTTCCAAATGGGAACACTTTCAACTAATTAGTCAAAGTAAAATTTAATCATAAGCCGTCTTTTCTTGTTAACAAATAGAAGTTCATAATACCAATGAACACACAATAGATTAAATTGATGGTCGACGAAATGTCTGTCAACAAAAGATGCTGTCGACGAATGATATAGAATTCTAAATCTGCAGGGCAGTGTATGTATATATGTATATATATATCGATATCCATTTATTTTCGAATGATATCAGTCAGTTGAGGCTCCATTTATATTCGAACTCGAACCAGGCATCTTATGTTTATAAGTTTATAATCGAGTCGTTTTTCTGTTACGACGAGGAAAGTATCAATTGGACATGTACTCTGACTCATTTTTGTTCTTACCCTTTTATAATAATCTCTTATGTTGAAAACAGGTTTAGATATGACTATTTTTACATGGTTAAGATAAAAATCTAATAAAAAAGAGTGAAAAATAATTTGATTGAGGTATTTTAACATTTATACTAATTGGGTATCCTCTTAATAAAAATGTCAGGCGAGTACAATAAATTGTCAATGAGAAGTTAGATTCGTTTTTAAGCATATACAGTGGCTGTCAAAATTTTCCGACCACCTAAAAAATGCTTTTTGTTTATTTTATATATTTGACAAAAAAAACGTGACTAGGGATCTGTGACTTTTACAATGTTGTAGACCACTGTGCCTAGTATATTTGTGGTTAGTTTCAGATCAGAATTTCGCGTTGTTGATTTTTATGAAAATGAAAACAAAATTTGTCTTATGTTTCATGCGTCAAAATTGCCCGACCACATGTGTTTTTCTTCTTTCTTTGCGCTAATCTATATATAAAGTTCTCCTTATGTTACACCATTCGAAAGAGCAAAATGTTTTCTACACGATGAGCTAGTTTTTATTGCGTTCATATACAGAAAAAGCCGAAAAAATAGTCTTTTGAGGAGCCAGCTATGACTTTATGAGTAAAAGCCTGTGGACAGACAATTTTTTCTACTAATGTTCGGGCAAATCTAATGGATAATACACTGTTAGGAAGACCATTAAAAACTGCATTAGACAGGATGTTTAAATGAAAACGGTGTGACGTCTAATTGAGATGAC